ATGACTGTATCCATATACCTAACTTGAATACCTGTATATCTATAATTACATGTTCCTACAGTGGGAAGCCCGGCCAGCCGAGGCGGGCGCGCGCTAGCGTTTACAATTAAAGTTGGCCATGAATGCTGTGGGGCTAGAGATCCAGATCCCAAGGTTGTGGTTGACAGTTGACAGCTTTACCAAGATATTTGGGGCAAGAAGAATGTGCAATCTGCCCACAGCGGAGGCCCTTGCTTCCATTCAAGTCCAAACTATGGCTGTTGGGACTTGTCATGGTGCAGCAGATCCTACGCACCAGTGGCCAAGGGGAAGGGGAACATGTTTTTGAAGGACAGGGACTTCAAAGCGAGCTGCAAGGGCGGACCAACCGACGATAAACAGGGGCAACAACTTGTTCATATTCACGCTGCAACCATTGCAGTGCAACCAGTGGCACGTTTCACTCCTAAGGACTCGAGGCCACCAGATCCAACACAATACAAAAAAGAGCCTTTCCCCTAGCAAGCTCAACATGCTCAGTGTGAATCCGCTGGAGACCCGTTGTAGGGACCAGGGACGATGGAGAGTAGATCCGAAGGACGAATCATGGAGCACATTTGTTGAAACTTTCCTGGATTTGCATCCGTTCCCGTGGGAACCTTCCTACATGAGATTCCTCACTGTAAGGGTTTGACTTGTCCGCGTCAGGAGATTTCGGGTGAAGACCTTCGGGCTTCTTACCATGCAGCTCATGCTCGTACTCGGTGTCATGGCAGCTTGGCAGCACCGATGCCGCGGATCAGTGATAAACCAATGCAAAAGCCATGGGATGTCCACTTAGGTGCTCGTGGACTTCACAACACTGTGGGAGCAGCTTGTCCCTGATCATTTGCCAGGGATCTTTCGGCAGGTGCGGTTTAGCAGACATGCATTTGCATGTCCCGAATGCATTGTAGCTTCTGTTGCTTCTGGAGGTCGTGTTTTACACCGTCGGTCTGACAAACTTGGTGAGCGTGGTGGGCCTCTACTTTGCAAAGGCCGCAAATCTTACAATGGCTATGTGGAACCATGTCTGATTCCGTGCCAGGACAGGTATCCTGCCAACTATGTGCCGCTGGTTTGCGGTTGTGCCTGTCTAGTTTTCTAGCATCAGAAAGACCAGCATAGAATATCATAGAATGGCATAGAAGACGACAAATGTTGGCTTGAGGTTCATGGCTTTGACGACCTTGTTGTCTGGACTTTTCTGGGGCCTGTGCCTTGGCAGAGTGAAACATCCATGTGGATCTTCGCAGGATTGGGTACTCGCACTATTCCACGTTTGTAAACGGGTTGATAGTGCCATTTCGCAAAGCCAGTTTTGGGTAGTTGCAGCCAGGACGCGTTCCCATTCAAACATCACCATGCATTTCCAGAGCCTGGGCTGACATGGCTTGATTCACGCAGATGTTGCCATTTGTTGCCTCTGAGGATTGTGGGCATTCTCGCGTTTACCATGTGTGCTGCGACCGTTTCTTGCAGCAAATTGAGAGCACAAAAGTTCCCCTTCGAGGAGGTTGATGGAGTGAGACAGGGTTCCCAAGGTGGTTTCTGCAGTCTTCGGCGGAAGAGAGATGAAGATGAAGGGCGGTTCCTTGCTGCTGGCTTCATTGGCTCCGGGTTGGCTTATCGGATGCGTCATAAATGTTGGCCTCTCAGATCTCTGCCGTTACCAGCTTTTGCCAGCCCTGCGAGTTTTTCCTTGACGCTGGGAAGGCGTTGGTCTGCACTCTGTGGTCGCCAACCGGTTCCCTTGAAGTCTTGGGGGCGACAGGCTGGCCTGGATCAATAGCTCGCGAAAGTTTGCAGGCAAGTTGCTACCTAGAACGCATGGAGGTTAAGCATAGGCAAGTCTGGGTTGGAAAAGGTATTTGTGCAGAGTTCTGCAGCTGTTTTCCCGCCAGGCTTCTCGTTCTTGCTGGTCTGCATTATGCTTCTGGATGCGGGTGCGGCTGGTCCATCGTAAGACTACCAGTTCAGAAGCTGCGAAATCTGCACGTCCAGGTAAATTCCTGGTGAGTTGTCAACCAGATGATTTCATGCATCCCGCTGCAATTTGTTCTGCTGTGCTGGATTGCTACTTGGACGAGCATCCCCTTTGCATTGTGTTGCGCTCTCTTAGGAGTGTGATCGTTTCAATGGATTCGTCCCTGCTGGTGATAGCTGGGAACCGATGTTGCCTCGCTTGAGCAAAAGTTCAGTGTCTGAAGAACGTCAGCCGAGGTCAGCATCCCTTTCTTCGTCTTATCATTCTGTCTTCTGCACACTGGTGAGGCTGATTGCAATGGATTGTCACGTTTCTTCGCGCCATCAGTCACGATTTGTTTCGTGCTTTTTCAGGCCGTTCTCGACCCCATGGTTTCTGAAGACTTGGAAGCTCCACCTGAGAATGTGCCCGTGCCGGAGCATTTGGGTGCGCCCAACACTCTCGCAGCTTGCCAGATTTATTACGATACTGGTAGGTGGCTGCTTCAAAATTATTTGTAGAAGACAAGCTGCTGAGCCTCTCGTCTGTCAGAGGTGATCGCATGAGATGATGTGGTGCCAGATCCCAGCAAGTTCCAGGCTAATTCATGTACAAATTCCAGATGAGATGGTATCCATGCCACGTCACTGAAAAGGGCCACCGTGCCTAAGGATGTTGCATGGCATGTTTCTTTGTGTTGTGTACTGGCACATCCTGCCTCATGGCTCACAAGTTGCCTTGAGGTTTTAAGCTTCTGGGGGGCAACTAACAGCTTCGGCAAGCGATTGAGCCCCAGAAGACAAAGCAGGACTCTGCCATCGGATTTCTTGCGGGGCACGGCTGCCTATGCTTGGCAACAAGCTGCAGCTAAACCAGTTTTCTTTCCCTGCAGAACCTTTCCAGACCTTCGAACAGCAAGGATTGTAAAGCTGCCGTCGCACGAGTCCTTGGGGGCTGCATAGTGCCGCGCAAACGCGGCCCATTTCATCCTCGGGACATCCTGTCATGACGGAAAACCTGTAGGATCATGTAGGAATTTTGCATCATGTGCCTCTGCTCTGTGAGAATTTGCCAGCGGCTGCAAGCAAAGAAAGGTCGAGGGCGCCTGCAGTTGGATGAAGGTCCTTGTCAGGTCCTCCATTTTGGGCGGAGCTTTGGTAAGAGGTAGGAAGACAGCATTTCAAGGCACTTACCGGGCCTACCTTTGGCACATGTCAAGGTCAGGGTAGAGGTCCAGTGTTGGCAGCCTTGGAGATTCGGGAGCACATGCTGCTCGTGAAAAAGTCGCCATGATAGACACGCTTTCAGCATGGCGACTGCAAGTATTGCAGCGTTGCTCAGTTTGTTGCAGATGATGCAATGTGGTGAGAGTTAGACGAATTTTTGGGATGATTGAATTCTGTGGAACTGCCATATCGCCAAGGGAGTCCGTGCCTAAAATGGTGTCAAGGCATCAGTGCTACTGCATCTTTGATAGGCTGTGGTACATGTTGATTTGGGCCGTACTGGCGTTCGGCATGCACTTGGATGATCAAAAACTTCGCTTTGGTTCAGCAATGCCATCGTGGCAGACAACGACTCGCTCTTGGTGTTGTCAACAGTGCCGATGCTCATACCAACTGTGGTGCTAGCACACATGAAGGAACTGATGCTCAGAGTCGTCACATCAGCCAATATGCGATCACTTCTAGCTCATAATTAGTCAGTAACAATATGCTAACTGTTCAAAGGGAGTGGCATTTCGGCAGTAGCGCGGGCATACACAAACCTGAGCGTGGTAGTTGTGAGTGGGCTTGGCAGCTCAAAAGTTAGCTTGTCCATGTAGCTTGAAGCACAATGTATGGCCATTTTGGATCTTGGCATGGGAGCATTGTAGCTGCAGATGCAAGTATGTAAGCGAAAACATGCTTTGCCCAAGTCCAACGCGTCTGGCATTTGATTTTGTCGGTCTGCGTTAGATAGCGGATGATTGCTTTCAGGCAACACTACAGAACAGTAGATGCAGTGCTGCGCGTTGGAAGGGGGTGTGATGAAAGCACAGTTGGTGACCTCTTCTGCAAGCCGTGATCCTCCTGAGCAGCCACCCATGTAACTTTTCAGTGGAGTGATGCCCAAAGACATGGCACCACCCTCTTCGCGATCTGTGCCAGTGGCATCTGCTGCCCAAGGCTGGCATGCTTCTTTTGCTGCATGCTCCTACATACACGAAGTATTTGCATTGAGCAACTTGTACAGTTGCGTTGGCGCGGTCAGTGCTTTGAGCTCGGTGGTCAAGTTGCTATCCTAACCGTCATCTTGTGTGTACACCGAAGTTGCAAGGTCTGCTCCAAAGCTGGCAACTAGCATTGCCCTGCCGGTCAGACAGCCAGAAACCTGGTTTTCAGCTCTTTAGATACCAAACCATGGCTTGATGTGTTAGATATCCAACGAGTTAGGCCGGCGCTGATGGCTGACTGGCCCTTAGAGAGAACCATTGTTTGTGCTGCACGTGTCTTCAGACTTTCTTAAGCCTGCTGGGTTAGCAACGCCGGTTGTGCCTGTGGAGCCTGCTGGGGCTCGCATGTTTACGGATCACATCGCATGCCTTGACACTTCTTTTGCTTGTGACTAGGTCGGCATGCGTCCTGCCCCGCCACTTCTGCGTGACACTCATTTCCGACTCACAGCCAGGGCCAATGAGATGCTCATCTGAAAGAGTTTGAGGACGCGACTGGAACCCGTGGCCGCGGCAGGTTCTCAGGCGCCTTCGCCAGTTTTGCCAAGTCCTTGCGAACGATGTCTTCAACGAGATTTCTTGGGTCTTGGAGGTGCTGCCGCTGCCGGTAACGGCTGCTCGTCGGTTCAGTGCTGCGCAGCTGCCCCAGTGATGCGCCAGTGATTTAAGGATATTCAAGGGCTTTCCAGCAAACTCTTATGGAAAGCAACGTGAGCATTCGGGAACGCTCTGAGGGTGCCACCTGCAAAGCCGGTGAAGCAAATGCCCAAGTGCTCCGTTGACACGAGTGCAGGATGCATGTTTGTACCAATGATCACTAATGATACTTACTTGAAGTGATGATCTTGTCAGACTGCTCTGGCTAACAGATTAGCAGTCTTGCCTGAACGAGTAAACTCAAGCGTTTTCTCCCGTGTTGCAGCACGCTTGCCTTGTGGATGCCTAGGCCGGTGCAGATGCCGCGGCAGGACATTTGATGGCAAGTCAGTTGGTCCAGGCGTCGCTCCCACCGTCGGTGTTGGTTTGCCCCCAGGCATCCTTGCAGCACCTCCCGTTGTCCTTTGTGTCGACGGTCTGCAGCCCAGCCTGAGGGTGTGAGGTATCCTGCAGTACAAGCGCATAGTGCAAGCATCTTGGTCAGGCTGCAGGGAGCACAGACACCTCGCGAGGTCCGTCCTCGTCTGATACTCAGCAACTGGAGTCATGTTGTAGCCTGACTTACTGGAGACTCGCGCGGTGCCGCTCAGGTCTGGCGAGCCGAGCCAAACGGACCGAGTTGGCTGCATGTTGAGCACTGCAATTGGCAAGTAAACTTGGGTCCCCAAACACAACAGGTTCCTGCAGGCACTCTTGTCTCGCCTGAGCAAGTTTTTTGTGGAGCTCTACTTCCGGAACTACTTTACAAACGGTGTTGTGGCTAGGAGGAGGGATTTTATGTAGTCGGGGTACGTGTGGCACTTCGGACCTCCAGAGCCTGACTGAGACTTGATGGAGCTGCGTGGCATGGGGCAGTGCCTCGAGGGGGTCGCACACCCTTTGTTCGCAAGTAGAAGGAGAGAGCGAGCCATTGTTGGCAAGTGGTCTGGGAGGACGGAAGTGGAGCAGCAGAAAGGGAGGAGGTGCCTCCATCCTGCTGCTGAGTTCTCGTACTTGCAGTTTCTTAGGGCTGAGGATGACCCCCAAGCGAGGCTCAAAGCTTCCAGGTGATCTTATTTGAATTTTAGCCAGATTGTATTCTGTTGTAGTCACTCCGGCCCCAGGCGTTTCCTGACTTGAGGGTAGGTTCCAAGGTGTTGAGGGAGGCGTAACGCGCTTTCCAGACAAATCCAGCTCCTTCAGCACGCCCACGACATTCCTTAAAGATTGAGCTCTGTCAGGACTGCCTCAGAAGTGCTGCCTCCGAACTTGATCTTCAAGCCCACAGGTCTCCTAGTATAGCCCGCAGCGACAGTGTGCAGACATTCGCAGAGCTGGGCGCAGTTTAGCTTTGACAACATACCAGTGGTTCATAGAGCTAGCAGTGAGCACGTGGCTGATGGCACAGAGCAGAAAGGGTTTGACTTACTTCGCACATGTTCTCATCTTTGCTTAGCACATTCCAGCCGTAAGGGATTACAACTCAAGCGCAACTAGCTGCCTGCGATGTTGGCTTCGTTGCTGACCTTCCTGCACATCGTCCATGTCGCTGCCTCGTGGAGATCGTTTTGCGCGACAGTTTGCGTGTGAGCAAGCTGGTGATACAGTGATGAAATTGAGGTTGCGGCTGAGGAGGTTTCAACTTCCGACAGATTGCGCTCACGATTGACATCTCCACGTTGTGAACAGCTTGCATTATTTTTGGGTGCATGTCAGTCACTAACGGCTAATGCATATTGCTGTCTGTTCTCATTCCTTTGCTGGTCAAAAGGTGCCAAATTTGGTGTTTCACTCCGGGACGAAGCCAGTGACTGGAGAGCTCCAGAGGCAAGTCTATCTTGCGCTGCGTAGTACGATCCCCCCACCGCCTGGCTATCCATTTCAACTCGAGATTTGCGTGTTTCTTCTGAGGTGGTTCGCACGGCATTGCAGTGCCAAGCGTCGGTGCCTCAAGCACAGGCAGAATGCCAGATCCTTTTAGTGTCGGTCTCCAGGTAAAACAGCGCCAGCAAACCTAAAACAGGGCAACTGACTCCGAAGAGGTGGCCTTACAATGCCTGAGAAAAGTATGTCACAAACAAAATCTAAAGGTCCCCCTGCCTGCAGCCTTCTGGTTTCCTTGTTGTGGGCTCCGTCAACTACGCCTCTCTTTCTCCTCTTCCTAACGATCTCTCCGCTGCCATCGATTTGCTCCCTTCCTGGAGCTTTGGGGTGACCGAAGCCTTGCACTCAGGTCCTGCAGGAAGAACAAGCACCAACCTCACTAGCTTCTGCTTTGCCCAGTTGGACTTCTGATAGAACATGAAATGGCAGAGCACGTCACCAAGGCTTTGCAAGTTCTTTACCTTTTACCCAGAGTCTGGCAAGTGTTACTTGGGAAAGGAAGCCTGTGCCTCAGCATCCCAGCCCAGCACGCAGCAGCTCCCAGCACAAGACATGGGGTATCATGGGATCATACAGCCTGAATACAGCGTGAGGTGGGCAACTCCAATTGCCTGTTAGCAACCGCTTCTGAGGCCAAGAGCAAGCCTGCCGAAGCAATTAGTGGACCCGAGGACATCGGTACCTTCACATGAAAATGGCAATCATTTTTTCTGTTCCAGGACTGCCCTTCACCAGACTCAGCTGATGTCGATTCAAATCTGAGCCTTGACGCATTCGGTGGCACAGATCAGCAGGAAGCAGTACGCATACACCTGTAGGCTTCGCTGTCGCCTCTCTGCCTGGCTCCGCTCCTCTTGTCACGATTGTTTTGCCATTAAAACTATCCTTACTGCAGAATTAATGCACGTCTTTTCTAATCTCCCTGGTCCCTGTCGTGCCCTGGCCCATCAGCCTAGAGAGGTCACATGCTTTTTGCACAGAAGCCATTCACAGGGTAGTGCAAGACGTGCCAAACTCTGGCGCTCTTGAGATTCAATTTTGTCCATGCCACGTCGAGCTCAGGAATGTTCTCTTCATCCCTGGAGCCTGCCACTTCAATGGACAAGGCAGTTACTGCTCGCTCTAGTTGCTGTTGCAGGAATGTTCCGGCAGGTGAGCTTTTCGAGGGCGCGGTACAGGCGGGTGTTCTGGAGCATGGCCCAACATTTGAGACATAGCTTGGCCGCGTGTGCTGCGAGTGCATATATTGCTGGTAGAACCGCATTTCTTGAGTGACGCAGCGCCAGCGAGTATGCCCAAGTTATCCCAAGCACTCCCAATTACCTAGGCATCACAACCGTGTACGCCCAACTGTGCCCACTCGAGTTCACCTGCGTAAGGTTGGGTGTGCGCGTAAGTACCCTGCGTAATCATGTTCAGGTAGTATGCTTGATAACCTGCACGAACCTGAACCACCACAATTTCTTCGTGCCCAAACCTTTTTCATGTCGATGTATGCCCGCAAACCATACATGATCTTTGAAGAGCTCCTGGCACGATGATTAGTTGTGTGTGTTTGTCTGCACGCCATTCCAGAACGCATCTACAGTATTCACAATTGATGTCGCCGGTGCCTGAGAACATGCTTGTTGAACGGCATCCATGTACAATCCATGGTCACATCCGTGTAAGAGTGCAGCCGCTTCGAATCCCTGATTGCGCCCGTGGACCAGTCAGAGCGTTTGAAGTGCATTCATTTTGAGGAGCATCCATGTATGTGTCTGTGTTTGGGTGTATCTGTTTTGTACCCTTTGCTGTCCTACCGCGTCAGCATGCCATGCGTTTTGTGCAGGGGTTTGTGATACTGAGCTTCGCAGTGAGAAAAGGGCCGCGCATGGTGTGCCACATGCAGACGTGATCACACGTGCATGCTTTCGACACAAGGCGGTTTGCGGAACGACGTTTTTGCGAGTTTGCATCTTCGACGCGTACTCAATGCATACCTGGCAATACCTGGTGTATGCCCAACATCCGGCGCTCACCCAGCACCTTGTGCATGGCCGCTACAGAATACTGGATGTAATGATGTAGTTGTTCACCAACCCGTGCTCGTCGCACCTGGCGCCTGATACCTGGCATATCTACTGCATACTCGTCGTACTTGGCGTATCTGCGGCGCAGACCCGGAGTACCTCGTGCCTACCCAGCGGCGTACCAGGAGCACAGCCCTACGCCCTCCAGATTGCAAGATGTTGCGTTTCAATGCGTCAGTTCTCCTGCTACGAGAGATGAGGGCTGCAGGATGCTGCAGGTAACATTTCCACAACGTCGACAAGCTTCACACAAAAAACGAATTGGTAACCTTTGGAAACTCATTCCATTCAGCTTAGTTCAGCTGATGGCCAAGAGTGTGTCATTTCCCTGCACTTAAGGAGATTTGCATAGACACTGGTACTTTTCATGCTCCTGAGGTGAAAAGTGTTTTGGCAAGGGTGCTTGTGCCAGAAGGCTGTCTATGTCTGCAGGCTTCCCAGTTTGCAGCCAAGCAAGCAGCCGCAGCTCTGAATGCCTCATCCGATGCACAGGCGGCCTGTGGTGGGCTGCCTGCATGTGAAGCGAATATGTAGCATTGCTGATACGGCAGGTGCAGGCTGTTGCCGCTGAGGCACGGGCAGTTGCCAGGACTGTCGCGGCATGCCCTCATGTTCGACGACATGTCACAACTGTTCTTTGCGAGCTTTTCAGGAGGGCGGGCCTCCCGACACTCCAGCAGCAGGTCCAGGCAGCGGCTGCCGCTTCAGCACATGCAGCTCGGAGCGCCCGGGCTGCTGGCAAAGCCAGGGCCTCAAGACAGAAGCTGCCAAGGCTCCAGTAGTGGCTAGGTCACCAGTTCATCAGCATGGCGACGTAGTGCACACCAATTTTCAGTACGCCTGAATGGCCGTGCCCGTGCTCAAGAGCTGCAGAACTGCCTGCTCGGGGCAGCAGGAGATTTTGAGGAAATGTGGAGCTTTAGAAGAGCGCTGGTGGTCCTGCCATGGCTCGCTCATGTCTGCGCCTTAATGGACCTCGAAGAGGCCGTGAGGAAAGCAGCTGCGTTGGCGGCAGAGCTCAATCGAACAGAGATTTACGGCATGGTAAAGGGCTCAAGCTACCCAGATTGGACGTGGAATCCTCGACCTGGTTACTTCGTAGGGAACACAAATCCTGTGCCTGATAAAGGCATCCCATCGCTGAACCTACAGGACAACGGCCAGGGTTACCGAACCTTTGAGGCACGGCAGGTTCCACAAGTGACAGCTTTCCCAGCAACACTGGCCATGGCTGCTACGTGGGATGAGGAGCTGGGCCGCGAATGGGGCGAAGCCTTGGGACGGGAGTTCTTTGCAAAAGGTGCAAATGTCTTGCTTGGCCCTGGTCTAAACGTTCATCGAGTTGCCCGAAATGGGCGAAATATCGAGTACTTGTCTGGAGAATCGGGATATTTGGGTTCCAGGCTAGTCCGGGGCTATGTCGAGGGCGTCCATTCGCAGCACGTCCTTACCGTGATGAAGCATTTCATTGCCAACCATCAGGAAACCATTCGGTCAGATGTAGATGCTCAAGTGACCAACCGCACGCTGTTCGAAACTTATTATCCGCCCTTCCAGGGGGCCGTTGATGCTGGCTGTCTGGCAGCCATGTGTGCCTACAACAAGGTGAATGGCGAGCATGCCTGTGGTAACTCTGAGATTCTGACAGACCATCTCAGAAGCCATCTGCAGTACAAGGGCTGGGTCATGAGTGACTGGTGGGCGGCTAGGCTTGTGCTATTTTTTCGTGCGTGTTTTCACTAGGTGTATGAGGCAAGCTCTCTTGGCTCTTGAGGCTTTGCGCTTCCTGAAGACCTAAGGCAACTCACAGCTTTGCTGCTGTGGATGGCTTAGATCAAGAGATGCCTGGCAATTGCATTTCCACAAAGCCAGATTGGCAGACTTTCTTCACCCCGACAAACCTGGACACGCTTCCTGATGAAAAGGTCCAGGACATGGCTACGCGAATCCTCACCGGAGTGGTACGATATGGGCTCATGGAGAACCCTGTCTGCTCCCCATCGGAGGGCGGCTGTTTGGATGAGCAGTTTGATGTTGTAGCCACCAGCAGAAAGCACCAGCAGCTTGCACGGAAAATCGTAGCTGACTCCGTAATTCTTCTCAAGAATGATGGAGACGTTCTGCCTTTTACGAGGGACTTGAAAAAGATCGCGCTGTTGGGCTCAGCTTGTGATCCGCCTAACGATGTAGAGAAATTACTCAAGCAGTGGGATTTGCCCAACTACTACACCATGGGCGGGTCGGGCCGAGTAGTTCCCAACAATCCATTGTCAATTCTCAAGGCTGTTGAAGAATACTGCAGTATTTCTGGTTGCGAAGTGGTGGCTGAGCTGAACGACACGGTGGAAGATGCCTTGAGCATTGCCAAGGGCGCTGATGTGGCCGTCATTTGCTCGGCCACAACATCCTCTGAGGGCAACGATCGGCCAAGCCTGTCGGTTGACCAAGAAAGCTATGTGGTTGAGGTGGCAACGCACCTTACCAACATTTCCAAGGTTTCCATCAGCATCATCCCTGGTGCCATTGTTATTCCGTGGATCGACCATGTCGATGCAGCTTTGGCTGTTTTCCTAGCTGGTGAGGCAACTGGAACAGGAATTTTGGATGTGCTAAGCGGCTTTGTGACTCCTGGGGGTAAGCTTCCTGTGACATTTCCGCTGGAAGAGACCGATGCCATACAACCATGTGAAAATGCCACATGCGAGTATACAGAAGCGCTCTTCGCTGGTTTTCCTTGGTATGAGGACAAAGAGGTCGCATTCCCATTTGGGCACGGATTGTCCTATACTAAGTTCAGCTATGAGCTTCTGTCGCTTGGACCCCTGTGTGAGGGTGAAATCTTGCCTGGCCATCCCGGACAGAGACCGCCTGGACGGCCTGGCACTCTGAGACAGCCAGGTGGAAGGCCAGGTCGACCAGGCCGACCAGGCCGACCAGGTGGCCGTCCAGGACGTCCAAATCACGACGTGTTGGTTTGTGCAGAGGTAAAGCTGCTCAATGCAGGACCTGTGCGAGGTTCCGAGGTGGTGCAGTTGTATTTGGGCTTTCCAGAAGGTCTGGACGAGCCACAAAAGCTGCTTCGAGGCTTTTCCAAGGTCCAGCTTCCTCCAGGGAGGGCAGCTTATGTGAAACTACCATTGAGCGCCCGCGAGATTTCTATTTGGTCGGAAGAGAGCCTGTGGCACATCCCTAATGGAACCTTCAAAGTTTTCATAGGCTCCTCAAGTCGAGACATCCGGGCTGAGGCAGAATTTGTAGTGGCCAACGGCCAAGTTGCATTTAATTCGTCAGCTCAAGTCTGACGGCTGATGCGACGTCATGTTGCATTATCCTGCTGGAGTGTGACTGTTGAGCGTAGGGCACAGAATGGTGCTGCAATGACTTGTGTAGATTCGGGCTGAATGTGAGCCTGTAAATACTTTTGTTGCCTTTTGATTTCTGCAAAGATGCAGACGGACCGTTTCGCTGATTGGCACAGCCCGGAGAACCGGCCCAAAGAGTCCTGCAAGCAGACTGCGGCCGCGAGAATTTGCACCTGTACCAGGACCTTACCACTCAAGCGGACCAAGCTGCCACTGCAGCTACGCTTGTGGCCAGTCAGATTTCGCCGCGGTACCAGGCGATTGTTCTCACCAGGGTGAACGCTATGAGAATTTTGTGCTTCTGCTGCTCAACGGTTAGGCTGTGTTGTATGCATTGGCGGCGGCCTTTGCCAGTGGCACGGGTGAAGATCACGCGGGCCGTCACGCAGCTGTCGAGGCGGTGCTCTATCTTTTGTGTCCAGGCGCATGCCGTATGCGTCAGTGTGCAGGTGGCGCTGCGCACTGCACTGAAAAGGGCACTCAATGGCGGGCTTACAGGCCGGCAGCGGGAGGCTGGTGCTGGGTCTTTGCTTTTGCTGTTTTCCTGTGTTGGGAGAGAGAGTCTCCAAGAATCCATTGAAGCAAGCAAAAGCGGAAACAAGGCTGTGCGACTGTGCCGAAGCCTCCCAACCTTGTGTTCCGCAAAACAAAAGCCATTTCACTCCAGGCCCGGTCCATTTCTGGAACGTTCCCAATCTGGGCCCTAAACGCTCATCGCTAAATCCTCATCTTTCTAATTGAGGCGCTAAACCCTGGTCTTCTGGATTTGAGCTTCAAACCTCCGTCTTTAGGATTTGACCCTGAACCCTCGTGCGGGCCCTAAAGCCTCAAATCCTGACAAGAGTGTGATGTAGTGCTGAAGCTCGACTTTAATGCTTATTGGCCGTCATTGCTGCGATCGCGAGATGAGCCCCGGTCTTGCAGAAAACTGCATCATACTAGACGGTGTCGTTTTGCAAGCTGCTAATAGCAGGTGTGTTGTGCTTTGTGGGGCTACTCTGTCTGCTAGGAGTCAAGAGAGCCTAGGAACGTTGAGCCGAGCAAAGCCGCAAAGCCGAGACGCGAAATGGAGTTTCTGAACCAGTCCGAGAGCTACAGCTGACATCAGCTGACAGTATTGCAAGCTTCCTGAAAGCTAAGATCCGCGATGCGCTTCCTTGTTCGACGTGTCATGGTCATGCAGTGCATTTGCACCGTTCGAGAAGCTAAAGCAGCAGCTGCTTCTTGTTTATTGCCATCTTGTTTTAACATCTTTGATTTGCTGGGTAGATGTTCACCAACTTCTGGTGGGTTGTCGCCTGGAACTTTCTCAACATCTCCTACCAAACCCTTAATTGCGAATGGCTGCTTTTCACGGTGAAGCTTTGCGCCCCGCATGAGGCCTTCCAGGTGCAAGTTGCTGGACTCACAGCGGCCGTGAACGCCAAGGCCGAGAGCAACTCTTTGAGGATTCTTCGGGGCTGAGCCCTGAAGCCTTGGCACTGCTTGGCACTGCTTGGCATTGCGCCAGGCAGCAAAGGAAGACCCTCGGCAGCAGGCCTCCGCAGCAAAATCTGCTGCGGAGACGCAGGGAAGTAGCCACATCCTCAGGAGCCTCCTCAGGCAATTTTCAGCAGCTGCAAGGGTAGACGTCGGTGCTCGCAGGGAGCCTTCTTCCCAAAGATGACGTCATCAAGTTGGCAAAGAATGCAGAAACTTTGACCGTCAATGCCTAAGACTAGAACTTCTTCAGCTCCATGCCGGGTTTATTTCTGTCGGCGATCGGGCCCAGTGCACCGCTAAGGACACTGGCTTGACAGCCTCTGGCACGGGAGGTATCCGAATCGTACCTGTGAGTGTTTCTTTTATTTGACAGCAGCCCAGGCAAGCCGGTTGAAGTGGCAAACTTAGCTTGGCTCTGCGATGGCTTCAATGAGGTGCCATTGCACATCCTGCGCCCGAGCTTGAAAACTTCAAAGCCAAACATGCGGAGGCCTTCGGCGTTGACATGCCCGATGACTCTGCCTCAAAGGCGGCGCAGCGTGCGGCTGCCTTCCTTCGGCCGGTGACAGGCCGGGCCTCGACAGCATGCAAAACTGCAATTCTTGTTTGGAGGCTTTAGTGTCTGAAGCACTGCAGACGACGCAGCATCTGTCAGCGGGCTGTAACCCGTTCGTAGACTCACTGCTACCAAAGTTTGTAATCCATCGCGCATGCGACGCAGCCTTGAAGCATAGTCTTACCATTCTAACCGCCGCTCCTGTCCTCTGATTGCCGCTGATGGCAAAAAAGCTGCTGAAGAGAAAGCGCGCAGCGGCTCCAAGCGTTCAGGCCTCAGACGCAAACCCAGCTCCACGAGCTTTTGCTGGCTTGGTCTTCCTTTGATGTCCTTTGACAGAGGCAGGAGCTCCGGAGGAGGCAAGCGATGGCCAACTCGCAACACCGGTGCAAGCCTGTGCTGTGCCTTTGCTTGCCTTTCTTTATGACTTTATGCGACTGCTTGTGACTTGGCAAGGTGAGACGGAAGAAGCGCAGAGTTGCTTCCAAATCTGGCGGGGAGCCCACTGCAGACCCTGCGCCGAAGCCTGCTGCAGAGCCTGCCACAGAGCCGGCGCCGGAGCCTGTGCCAGAACCAGAGCAGCTCCAGGAGCCAAAGGTGGACAGGCCAGCTGAAGCAGCTGAAGCAGCTGAAGGTCAGGTAGGCTTCAGCCGAGAGAGTCCTGGTCAGGAAGGGCATCGTGCACCTCGCTTCGATACCTCTTTGCATGGGCATCCAGAAATTGCGCCACATCATGGAGCAATTTGGTGACATCGGCCGTGTGTACCTTGCTCCCGAGGACTTGCGAGCATGATGAGAGCAGAAGCTGTTTTGTGAAGTCCTGGGGTCCAAATGCTTTCTGGCCAGCTGCCAGGAAAAGTTCCGGCAGCAGTTGCTTGGACTCGAGATCTCTAGTGATAACGTGTGGCCTTCGTAAAGTATTTCCCGGGCAGTGCATGAAGAGCGCTGCGCATGCAAAGGAACCGGAAGCGCGCTGGTGGCAGCCGAAAGCTCCGCTACACAGAAGGCTGGGTGGAGCCTCTTGGCAAGTTGACCACTCTGGCGCAAGTCCAGAACTTCAAAGAACTTCGCACCAATCGCAATGCATGAAATGATTCGAGGTTTGCGGATCGCCGGGTTGCCCGCCGTGTAGCTGAAAGTTTGAATGCTACCACAATTGGCGGGCCTCTTCGTTTGCAAGGAGTAGGCTTTATCTAGATAGTTCCGGCGTCTGCTGAACAACTACCACAGGAAGAAGCGACACAACTTCTTCCGAGACGACATTTGGAACATTCGTGCCGAAGCTGCAGTTGCCGAAGCCATCAGGGTCAACGAGCAAGTGCATGCACTGACGGGGAATGCTTACAAGGTTACCTACCAGGGTTCAAGTGGCACATGCTCAAGGAGGGCACCATCTACAATCAGATTCTTGGCTAGACTTAACTGTGTGGAAACTCGTGCTGATCCTGGAATGGAAGCATGTGGAACCACAACGCAACAAGGCAAGTGCGAAAAGCACGCCTGCAGCAGCGCATGAGCCAGGCGTCCCGTGGGGGCTTTTGCATCGAGGGTTGCTGTACTTTGTTGCTGTACTTTGCAACAGAACTCCGAAAGGCTATCGCATTCCTGCCACTGAGCTAGTGGCAGCCCCAAACAGTAGCACAATACTCTCCTCCAATGCAGGCATTCCGCAACAGGCCTCATCCCAGTCCTTTTTCCTTCCTCACGAGTCGGTGGCATTTTAGTGGGATGGGACGTGTGCAGTTATGTTTGAATCCGTGCAGTTGGTTCGGTTCTGCCTTACCTTGAAGTCGAGAAACAGAATTGGTACCGGGCACTTGCATCACTTGAGCTAGCTGCCCGTCCCTCGCTTAATCTTGTAGTTTGGGGAGGCAGGCACTTAGTCTGGGCTCCTGGTCCTGCTCCTGCCAGCTTACCCCCTGATGCTGACATGAGAAGAGATCCCCAGGCGCAACGCGAGAACAGCTACTACTTGGAGAGCGTAGAGAAGGCGTGTGGAAACTTCGTTGACCCCAGTTTGTAAACGCATCACCCTATGAGGCCCGGACCAAAGAGAAGGTGGCCGCCCGCCGTGCTGCGAAGGGCAAGAGCCCAAGCGCTCTTCAAACAGGGCAGGAAGAGCTCGGTCGACCTGCTGAGCTACGCCGGGCCCCGCTGCCCAGTGGCCTGGACTGCAAGGAAGATTCCATCAAGGGCATCTCAGTTGCGATGGAGCAGCTTCCAAGGTGGACCGGGCGCGATATCTGATAGGGTCCTGAGCAAGCTCCTTTAGCAAAGTTTGTTTCACCCTGCATACACCGGTGGATCATCATGCAGACGGAGGTGAGAACTGCGCAGGCAAAAATCAAGCCTTTGTCGGCCACTGAGTAGGTTTTCAGTGCCAGACCTTCGTGGAATGTTGCAGAAGCACTTGACAGATTTTGGCCATGGATGTGCTGATGGTGAATCCCATTGTCTGTCATGCCAGATGCGGGGAATTCTGCCTGGTACAGCATTGAGACTGCTGCTGACAAAGCAGTGGCCAAAGCGCGTAGTTCCGGCAGCCCGGCAGCACACAGCATATTTTTTTGTAGCACGTAAAAGGCAGGACACGGCAAACACAATTCTATAGGCTTCTGCCAAGGGGTGTGCTCAGAACGTTGGTGGTGGCGCAGCAAGCTGGCGTTTCTCTTCATCACAAGAAATGAATGAGACTGTTGGCAGAAGTGAAGGGGATGGCAGTCGCAGACGATCCCACTATGGCCCGTAATACCTTGTGGGGAAATATCAGGCCAAGCTAGATACAACTTTGCTACTGAGCCTGCCGCTAGGGCTGGGTAAGCACCAGTTCTATTGGCATCTAGCATATGGCCGGGAATGTAAAATTGAAGCAACACCTCCTGTAAATCATGATGCGTGGGAAGAGCAGTCGAAGTCAAGCCCTGCGAAGCGCCCTTCGAGAGCCTTAACCCTTGAGCCAAGAAAAGTTCCTTGCAAATTCGGTCAGAAGCACCTTTCTTCCAAGGAGAGTCTGTGGCAAAGCAGGTGCAGGCTGCAGTTGGAGCTGTGGAGGAAGCCGGCTCGCATGGAGACATCCGCATTGCTGCGGAAGCTGCAGCTGCTTCTGCAGCGGCAACTGGCGCAAGCCTGGATGGGGATGGAGCGGCCCTGCGTGCTGCAGCCCAAGTTGCTGCTGCTTCACCGGCATTCATGATGCGGTACCGATCGCAGTCTTGATGTGCTTCACCTCCTCATTCTGCGTCGTGAGTCTTGTCCACATTCAGTTGCGCCCCTCAGTCCCTCGGTCTGGCACAGGGCCACCTGGCCTCGGAGGCCGAGAAAGAGCTGTCTGCTAGCCCTTTTGAACAGGCCGAGGCTCGCGATCAGCCCCACAGTTCCGAAGTGTTCCGAACTAGAAATGTCTGCTTTGCATTCAGGCTGCTGCATGGGCAAGTCTTCAGGGAAACGACCAAGGCCGGGGCCAGAGAGGCTGCAAAGGCTGTGGCTGAAGCAATTCCTTTCCAGGTCTCGGTCAGCCTTGAGATAGGATCAACCGCCTCAGGAAGCAAGACTAGGGGCTTGCAAGCAGCGAAGCAAGCAAACGATTCCCACATACTGTCAGCGCTCTTCATCCAACGCAAGCGTCAAAGCATCAGTTAGAGCCAAGCGAGGGCTTCGAGCAACACGGCGGTAGTGGTTGAACTGTCGGGTGCTTCTCAGGCCTGCCTGAGCAAGCAGCGGCTGCTGGTGCTGCTGCCGAGGCAGCTGCCAGCCGCGCAGGGATTCCGAAGGAGGAGGGACACGCGTGTTGCTGCGATTGTCAGCAAAGGGCAACAGCACGTGGACAGGAGTTGAAGAAGGTGGGGTTGGCAGCCACGTACCTCGTCTGCAGGTTGTGCGCACTGGCTTCACGAGAGTGAACCCCACAGCAGGCATCAGCTGGCTTCCTAAGGAGCGTCGTGCTGCGAGGCAGTTGGCCGCAATCGGATTCCAGCATGAGATGCTCAGCACAAAGATAACAGTCGCGGACATGCCTTGCCCGCAAAAAGCAACACTCGCGGATCAGTGTAATGCTCTCCGATGTTGCCGTGGATGGTCCTCCGCCCGCAGGCATAGTTTGAAGTTAGAAGGATGGTGTTGTTGTGCTGCGAACCTGAGGAGAAACCATGCAGTCTGAGGAGCAGTTTCGGAAAGAGATGCCTTGTCCTCGGGACCAGCCAGCAAAGCATATCATGGGGTCCCAAGCAAAGACGCTTTGGATTTCATTGTGTTGAGCATTGAGGAACCAAGACTGACCGATCAGGTACTACAGGCTAGGAGACCATAGTTTGGAGAACTGTTTATCAAACTGTTTGCCAGCATGTCATGGGGTCCTAAGCAAAGACACTTTGGATTTCATTGTGTTGAGCATTGAGGAACCAAGACTGACCAATCAGGTCTCTACAGGCTAGGAGACCATAGTGTGGAGAATTGTTTATCAAACTTTTTGGCTTAAGAGAGGTCCGCTGAGATGAGCCGTTATGGTTTGGTGGAGGAAGAGGACGTGATTGCAGATGAGCAAAGCCTCGCGGATGGCAGTTGGGGGTGTCAGGAACAGGAGTTTGCGTTCTAAAGTTTTAGCTTCGAGGATCTGGGTTTGTTTTGCCGTTGTATCGAGGAGATACTGATTCAAGGGCATTGCCAAGCGTCACGCAAGCATCATTCCGAATGCTGTGTCAGATCAAAACACAGTGTAAGACTTGTACAAAAAGTCAAGCATCAAGACTTGTTTCTGCATCGGTCTGGTACAGGTCACTGGCGGTGGCTGATAGTTTGCCTCATCATCCTGGCTATGATATGCATTGCTGGAGTGGTTGCTGGGCACGAAGCTAGCAATTCTTCTCTTGAGAGCTCATAGGCATTCATAGGCTGTGTTGCGTTCCTGCATGTTGAGGTCCTTGGCATCAGCACGGCCAAGACCCCCAAAAAACGTAGCAGGAGGCTCAGTGGACAGGCACTGGTGGCAAGCACCAGTCCAACGGACGGGAAAGCCTTGGCTGGGAAAGTTGGAGTAAGGCTTCAGACCTTCAGCCGGATGTTCTAAGGCATGCGAGATGCATCTCTGGAGCCAAATCGCATTGAAGAGGTATCTTTGTTGAGACTGGACCGCTCTGGACCTGTTCTGATTTCTTTCTTGTTAATGGGGAAGTCTGAGGAATGCTCAACAAAAAGTGCCTGATCCGCCTGTGACCAACGAGCCTGAGCTCAGTGATCCTTCTGAGCTGCTTGGGCAGAAGTGAGGCAGTGACAGTTGTAATGCTGACGTTAAGCCCGCACTGAGCAAAGGTGGCTGCCAAGCCCAAGGACACAACCTCCCCAGCTGCCGCAGGGCCCGAAGCTGCCGCTCGGTTAAATTCCCGATTCGGCTTAATCATGGTTACTTGCAGATCTCAGCTGCTCCAGCTTGTTGAGGCTGGCCTTTCCGGACTGGCAGAGAAACTGGAAGCCCGGAGACGACAACGAGGTCACCTATCAGGCTAACCCGACTGGAACTCCATGCGTAGGGGGCAAACGGTCTTCTAGAGACTATTGAATAGATGGGGCAAGCCCGCAGCCAGAGCAAGGGTACTCCCATTCAAGTCGTGTAGCAGGTCGCTGTCAACCCCATGACTAGTGTTCGCAGCCTGTGCAGGGCGGAACTGAGGCTCATGTAAGTGCATGTTGTGACCCGGCTTTCGCAGCATCCCTGATTTCATAAGCTGTTATCATTCTACCTGTGCATCAGACTCTCCCATGAATGAGAGAGACCCAGAGAGAGTTACGGCATAGGCATAGTCCAGAAGCGAAGAGAGAGTTACTTGTTGCAGCTTGTGGCGCGGAGAGGGCTCCTATAAAGAATCAGCCAATGTTCTCTCTGATATACATCGCGGAAGCTGTGGCTAGTTCTCAAGAAATTGTGGGGGCAAGGATGAGTTTCACAACCCTCGTAGGGAGGAGAGTGGTTCCGTGATTCCCAAAGGGTTTTAGCTAGGTCGAATGTGTCATGCCGACAAGAACGGCTACCGCGTGCAACACCGCCATGCCCCCGCAAGGGGTACATGTGGCATAGACAGAAGAGGCAAACACGCTATCCCCAAGGCCAATCTGCGTGCAACAGACTTCGCCGCTCCGAGTGCCACCAAGGGGAAAGATCGTTGTAGTCAAAATTTGCGTGAGCCAACTAACATAAGACCCGCAGCGGTCACACAAACGTGTCCCTGTCGTTGCCGTGCCAGAAGACAATAGCTGCAGAAAAGCGCAGTGCCATCCAAGATGACAATCATTTGCTTCAAACTTGTTCTTTGACCAGCTCTCTAGACCTAGACTCTAGACTTTTTTGGACCAAGGCTGCCATGGTAGATCTTTCTTTCGTTGCATGCCGCATGGCTCTGTCTCTTTGTCTCCCCCTTTGTTTCCTTCTTTTTGTCTTTCCTTCATGGAGGGCAGCCCTGGCCTCAACGACAATCGCGAGAAGCCAATCTTATCTTTATTTTGAGTCCCGGAAATGCGCTGGCCATGGTAGGAGCCTGAGCTCTCAAAGGAGCAAAACGTGTGACATTGAAATTGAAGCGCTGATGAAACAGGCGTCGGTACACCACCCAACACCTCGAATCCCATGCACTACACCGCGTTCTAGCCAAGGACGAACAAAGACTGTTCGCAGACTGAATGAAGAACAGCCCCAATATCAGAAAGCCATATGTGCACCAACCACTGGGTTGTCCAGAATTGTAGACGCCTGTATAACCAAGATCTCGGCAAATGCCTGAAACCCGGGACCTTCCATGATGCATTTTTGCGACTCGAGTCGCTGAAGTATCTTTGTGTATCATTTGGGCATAAATTCGGCACCCCCGAATGGACACGCTTCAGGTGCCCCCTGGCGCCAAGCCGGGATCTACGCTGCTCGTGGACGTGGGTGACGGCTTCGCAGTTCCTACCCTGGCAACCTTGGCGCAATGGATTTGGAGAAGCTTAGGCGGTGTGATTTCTTGATTACACACGATTTGCCGCATTGGTGGCAGGTGCTACTCTGACGTTGTGAAAGCATTTTGGAGCCCAGGTCCCTGAGTCTGCATATGCTGGCATGACTCTGAGCTTGAGGCGCTAAAACCTGAGACAGCACACATCACGAATGCCGTGTGGCCCGAAGAGGCAGTTGCCAGGACTCAGAAGTGGTCAGCGCAATACGAAGAATACCTTACCTGCCAAACTGGCCTGCGGCAACCCAGCCTATTTGGGCACACGGGCCCGTCTATGACAAGTGGGCCGTGAGTCAGATAATGAAGTTGGCGTATGTTGGCGTGCACCGCCCACAATCTTCCCAACGACGATGAATTTCGAAAATGAAAGGTTGTTGACATGGTGATTCCCCGTGAAGCCCTATCCATAAGCAACCCCGGAGCTTGTTCCTTGGAGCTGTCATGAGCCATATCACGATGGGAAGTTGCAGGGTCAGGGCACAACATGCCAAAGTTTTTGCCGCTTGATGATGCCAGGTCTGTGAGTACGCAATGCTTTGACACGTTGCAGATGTCACCCTCCCGTCGCATGGGAACGCGTCTGGGCCGTTTGTACAAGGCTCCTCAACCACCCAAAATTAACCTGTATCCTTTTGTTTCTGGATTGTTCGTCTGAGATGCTGCATAAAAAGCCATCTGGCAATTGGCGCTGAGATGCGTATAAGACCTGGCGGCGAGCGGTCCAAGAATTTGTGCTCTATGGATAAAATGCTATCCGCATTCTTTTCTTTCTCTGGCCATCTCGAAAGAGATGGAATTTGTCGTGGTCAAAGATGCCCGATGTTTCACTTTCATCACGGTGGTGCAGATGCGACAGATTTGCGTAAAAAGTAGACAGGTGGCAGGATGTTTCCAGTGTCATGTGACGCCTTCCCATAGGTTCTGCGAAAGTGCTGTGCTTCTCCGAAGGATCTTCCTTTCTGGCTCTGCTGGGGTGTCTTTTGTTTTTTATTGTTTACATGATTCTAAGTTGTTTCTAGACGTGCTTCATGCTTTCATGCTTATGGAACTTCAAACGTACCTCGTCCACGTCCGCCGCAGCATGGCAAAGTTTGCGATCATACCTCTGCTGGTCGCCTCGGTTGGGGCAAAGTTTGAGAATTGTTTGATTACAGGCACCTGGGTCGGCAAAAGTCATTGACTCATTGATGGAGTGCTTCAGTCACTGACACAGACAGAGGGAGAGAGGGTAATCGTGGAGCCAGGCCCATTGTCTTGGTGTTTTTGCTTGTTGGCTCAGTGGTGTCATTCATGGTTCCTGTTGCATTTGCTCACAGGGTAACAAGAGGGACTGCGCTGCACTGTGATGCGTGTCACAGCCCGTTGAGTAGGAAGTGAGCGCGATCAGCGCCGTAGAACGGGTGTTATTGCTGTCAAATGGGTATCAGATGGGTATCTAGCACTTGGGTTGCAGGGGTCTGATCGTTCCTGCTTCGGTCTTCCAGGTTCCGACTCGGCGTGCGCAGTGACCATTTGGGTGCAGGGCTGGGCCCTGGGGGGGTAGTAGTACCCCTTTTCACCCTCAAAGAAAGAAAGAGGGTTCACATTTTCAGGAGCATGCACGAAGGCTTGCTAACGTAGTTCTTGTAGTGTACCCAAAGGACAATTGTGGGGGGAGTGTGGGAATCCTGAATGAATCCTTGCACCAACCCTCAACCGTTGGCACAGACACTGCCTGCAGAGCCGGAAACGGGAAGGGGTGTAAATTTCACCACCCAGTCGAGTAGGGAGGAAATTCATTGGGAGCTTTGGTACGCTGTCTCTGAGTTCCTAGGACTTAGTCGTACTTCCACCAATAGGGCGTAATGTCACCTTTTATCCAGTTGCTTGATCCGAATGGGTACTACTCCGGCCCTCCTAAGAGAGGAACTCGAACCAGTGCGCCGGGGTTTGGGGCCTAGCCCCAGCAGAGCTTTCGAGCTCTGCAGAACCCTGAAGAGGAAGAAGAAGAGGGAGAGAGTGAGAGGCAGCGAGAGGGGGAAAGGGAGGAGAAGAAGCAGAAGAAGAGAACAAATCCAAGATGAAGAACAAAAGGAAGTGATAGAAAGAGAGAGAGAGAGAGAGCCCCGAGTGCTCCGGTGAGCCCGCAAGGGGCGCACTTAGCCTGTAGTAGAAGAAGAAGAGAGCCCGAAGAAGAAGAAGAGAGATCAAGCAAACGAGTGGTAGTTGGAGACTTACACTGCAGCGCTTGTCAGTTTCGTGCTCTGCCAAGGCTGGGGCTACACGGACTCCTGGCACAAGGACCTCAACGGTGGCTATGTGCACAACGCTGAAACCTGCCAGGCGAGGTTGTGCTGGTTGGACCTTCCATACTTCGACCATCCGTTTCGGCAGGAGACGTGCAAAGGAATGTGGTTCTGTGATGTCGCCTTCCTGGCTTCAGATATGCTCCAGCAGTGGACTCACACCAGTGGTCCGTGGATTTCCAAGGTTTTCACATACCACACAGATACGAAAGAGTGTTTTCTCCAAGGTGCAGGGTGTCTTGTTGCCTTTGCACCGAAATAATGCAGACCTGCCTGGATCAGGAAACCAGGCGGTGGAGTCCATCATGCCAAACGTGATCAGCGGCCCCAAGACGCATGAGCCTCAGAATAGAATAGAGATATCCACAGTAAGCTAGGCTGTAGGCTCACTTGCAACTGCCAACCCCCGAACGTGATTAGATTAGATCCGATTGGATGTCTCAGTACTGTTTTTCACGCTGTGCTGCGCTCAGGTGCTCATCCACCTCTTTGTCGGAGGCCTTGCGTATGGTGCAGGCTTCTGGTACAAATGCTGCCAGCTTCGAACTTGGAACAAAGAAAGCGTGAGAGGGCTCCTGCTTGGCTCCCGGCAAGCGACCACCAAACTTGCTCTGCGTCCGAGGCCGTGCCCAGGCCGAGGCCATGAATCTTCCTCAAATAACAAACTACGCTGTGCAGACTGTGCTGAAGAATGGCGTGGCTCTGCTTGCAAGTTTTGGTTGGGCACAGCCCCATCTCCTTGCTCCTTACGCTGCCATAAGTCACAAAGGTGTCGCTGGGCCTGTCCAACATCCAGAAGGCGTGCTACATACAAGCAACCGTCCAGCTGGGCGAAGCTGTTGAAACCTGGTGAGGCGCAGGTCACGGCAGAGATTGTTGGAGAAATTGAGGCAAGGCGCAGCACCACTGACGGCAACAGCCCGGCACCTAATTTGCTCTAAGATGAACGGAAGGCGGCACTGTGTGGCCTGGCGGTTAAAGTAATCCAAGACTCAGGCGTGCTACCTCAAATCTTAACGGGTGCAAGAGCTGCTGCAGCGTGGGTTGCCGGGAACTACTCCAAGAAAGTTCAGGCCCAGCAGGCGCCGCCGCGGGGAAGTAGCCGTCACGCGTGCTTAAAAAGACAGTCTGAATGTGCAGAGCAAGACCGCAAGGAAAGGCTAAGTCCCACCGCAGCCCAAAGGGTCGTAGACCACAGCGCAACATGTGTCTCCAGCACAGGCAATGTACGCAGCTGGTGCCCTCGCTGGCGACTTCTCCACCGCACGTGAGGAGACGGTGACTTGCCAACTTGATGCTGCAGCGTTTGCTACTCTGTTATTGTAAGTATGCCGTATGCCATGGAAAGATGCCCGAGTTGAGGTCCAGGATCGCACGGACTATGCGGTTCGCATGGCTTTGGATGCTGCAGACACCGTGCCCGGCGCCGGCGGTCTCACGACGTATGAGCCGCTGTATTGTCATTGGGTAGGCAGCAGGAAGCAAATTGAAGCACCCCCCGGCTGAGGCAACTGGTGATTGCAGCTCAAGAGGCAGCTTTGGTTGCGACAAGGGCTGGGGGCACCAAGACAGCAACTTGGCAAGGTTGAGACTACATAGTTCTGACTGACTTTTTGTAGCACAGATGGCCATGATAGCTTTGGATGTTTTGGGGTGCCAGGAAGTCTACACTGCCGTGGCCACAGCATGCCACAAGGTGGCAGAGGTTTACGGCAAGCCAGCTGACGTTCAGGCAGGGGCTGCTGGCAGAACTCAAAGCCACCAAGCTTCAAATTTGCCAAACTCATGATGCCGGGAGGCTGAGTGGTCTGCGATTTGCGAAGCAACAGTGGCTTGGTAGAGCTCAGAGTTAGAGTGCAGCATTTGCACGATGTAGAAGATGCAAGTCATGTCCATCTCGGAAACCTAAAGGTATCTCTAGTCTTCTTTTGCTGCCGCTTACGTTGCACACCCGCAACTTTGGGCTCAAGGGATGCGCTGAGGGCAACCCTCAACAGGACAGGTCTGAGTGCTTTTACTCAGTCGGGGTCTCAGCTTGCAACATGTCAGCAATGGCTGCTCATCCCGGGTTGTCCAGGTCGCCTTTGAGAAGGTATGATGAAGAACGAGGCGGTACCGGAACCAATTGTGCTACTTACCTGCTTCTTGACCTAGGGACCTGGGGGCAACTCGCTGCATGAGGCCGCTGCGGCAGATGCAGAAGACTACACGGAAAGTGATGACGAAGGTGCTGAGGGCTATCGCGTGCCGGCCGCAAAAAGGGTGCGGCGTAAGATCTGTTGCAACTTTCCTTAAAGGATGCCCCTGACATTCAAATGCCCAAGGCAAGGGCGGATACCACCCCGTGCACATCGGCGAGATCTATAACGGCCGATATCATGTTTTGGCCAAGTTGGGGTGGGGACACTTCTCCACCGTGTGGCTTTGCCAGGACGGACGGTCGCGTAATCAGTGTAAAGCGCATCTCTGGTGAAACATGAGCAAGCCAGGATCTTACACAGCAGCGCTATGTGGCAATGAAGGCCACATCATTGATTTGGCTGCAGCATGGAAGCATATGGAAGCTAAAGTGACAGATGCAGGTGCAAAAGAGTGCGCCGCATTACACAGAAGCGGCGTACGATGAGATTGAGCTCCTTGCTGAGGCTGGGTCAGTTAGGCGGGCTAGGGATGACTCCTTGGAGCGGAGCGACATAGCAAGCTGACCATGGAGGCTGCCAAGCGGTGCAAAGACGAAGCTTGGGAGGACAAATCAAATCAAAACAGCATCAAGGCTTGGGAGTTTGTCACTTTTGTGTCGCCGGCCAGGAGACACAGAAGGGCCCAAGCCGTAACCTTTTTCCGGAGATTCCGTTCACAGGTGTTGTGCAGCTCATAGAGCCTTGGTCCACACAAGTCTTCAGCTTGCGTGGCATGTGCGAATGGTGCGGATGTGTTGCCTCTGCTCTGAGCTTCAGGACTACTTTGAGCACTTCGGCGTCAACGGCAAACATGCACCATGGTCAAACAATGAAGTTTCCGACCTGTCAGACCTGGTAGCCGCGTGGATCATTTGCTTGCTGAACTTAGGTTTGCATGGTATTTGAGACAATGGGCCCCAACGTGCTGGCTCTTATCAAAAGGCCTTTTGCAGATTGAGTCGTGTACGCACCATTTGCTGTCAACCATGCCCTGCTGAAGGTACAACTTCAAGGGCATCCCCTTGGACATCGTGAGAAAGGTCACAACTCACACGCTCATTGGCTTGGACTACCTGCACCTGAGCTGGAAGTTTTTTTGACAGCTGCAGCAGCATGAGGTTTTGCTAGAAGACTTGATTCACGACTACGATTCCATTCATGATACACCCCTGCGGGCTAAGGCACAGAGTCTGTGGCATCATCCACACCGACTTGAAACCTGAAAATGTGCTGGTTGGATGCCCGCGCGGGGTGCCTGTCAACAAGCAGGGGGTACCCCTCGTTGGCAATGTGGATCCCGCAATGGTCGCAGCCAAGAGGGATGGCAAACTGCAGAAGGAAGAGAAGAAGCAAGGCAAGAAAAAGGACAAAGACAAAAAATATGATGATGATGAAGGCCGGCAACCTTTGAACAATCTTGCTGGTGTGATTGCTGGGAGTGGTGGGTGCCCATGCAGGCCAGGGAGATGACGAAGCTGAAGCGGTCCCACGCCCGCCACCTGTGCTGGTGCCTTGGAAGCCCTTCGAGGGGGTTCGGCTGTTTCTCATGATGTTACCCTCCGCCATGTCAGCCTAGCCAACTGGCTTTGCATGCGTCTGTTTGAAAAGACTTGTGTTTGCTTTCTATCCCTGTGGGTGGATGGGCGGGTGCCTCGCATGGTTCAGAGTTAGCGTGGGTCTCCTGGACAGGTACCTGAGGCCATGCAGGCAGCACCGAACCCCTCCAGCCTCAATGAGCCGCCGTACATGAAGCCCTACCTGAAGCCATCGCGATCTGATCCAACGCTGCTCTCGTCTTATGGCGATGATATGGTGGCCTTGAACCGGCCTTTGTACAACCATGCCATGAAGCCGCCGGGTGTGCCACACATGCCAAACTACCCTGGCGCGACTGCTTTCACTCCAGCGGTGCCGCCGCCACCATCGCAGACAGCTGCTGCACATGCTGCAGCGGCTGCTGCCGCAGCATGCCAGTCAACCTCGAAGCCTGATTGTGCCTTGTCTGCACAGATTGTTGGAAGTAGTTGCAGCAGTACAGTTCAGTACAGCAGCGCCACGCACAGGTATCGACGAGAAGCTGATTGACGAAGTTTTGGGACTAGATTTGTTCGACCATGTTGGTGTCACTTACAAGGTGGCCGACTTGGGCAATGCGTGTTGGGTAGAAAGGCACTTCTCCGATGACATCCAGACGAGGCAGTACCGTTCACCTGAGACAATCATCAACGCTGGCTATGACACCTCTGCAGACATTTGGTCATTGGCCTGCATGGTTTTTGAGCTCGCAACCGGTGACTACCTTTTTGACCCCAAGGCCTCCGACGAATACCCACGAGATGAGGACCACCTGGCACTCTTCATCGAACTCCTGGGATCCATGCCAAAGGATTTGATCACCCGGGGTCGTCGCTCCAACACTTACTTCAACCGGCGTGGCGAGCTCCGGCACATCAAGTCCCTGCGCTACTGGCCTTTGGCCGAGGTGCTCCTCCAAAAGTATCACATGCACGAGGTCGAGGCTCGCAGTTTGGCATCCTTTCTCCTGCCGATGCCCGGAGCTGAGCAGCTGAGCCATATCAGTGCATCTTCGCATTATTCGCGTTGCTAGATCATCTCTACTGACACATTTGGCTCAGGCTCCACCTTTTGCCTGAAGACAGGACCGCTTGCGACACTACGTCACTACATGATCGCTTTAACTCATTTTTTGCTCCAAGCTTCCAGGATTTCAGCGAAGGCTGCTTTGGAGCATCCCTGGCCCGGCCTTCAGAGCACCGATTGGACAGGGATTTTTCGGTACTAGGATGTCATGGCAGCCCCTGACCTGCTTATACGATCAGCCCAGCACTTCCTTAGTGCGGTCGCGAAGCGCAAAGGCTGCGAGGGGAGCCCAGTGAAGATGTGATTGACATGGTCAACCGCAATGCGTTGAACGCTCTCGACTTACAGCGCCCAGTTGTGTAAGATTTGTAGCCCTCAAAAACTGCTTTACTCAGATGCCTCGTCTTGGAGTTGCTCCACCCTTCGGAGCCAGAGACGGTAGAGGAGGCATGGGAATGGTGTTTCCAGATGAGGTCGCAGCCTGAGATCGGAGATGAGATGGGTTGCCTTGCCCTGTGTATTGCCCGCGCCAGGAGGAGATCGCACAACATTAAGATGCAGTCAGGATGTCCACTCGTTTTTCGCATTCTGAGAAGGAATGTTGAAATGCAGCTGCAGCCTGGCAGGAATCAACAATTTGCGCTGCAGTGCTGTCATGCATTGACACTGCTACAGCTGCCGAGAGGCGGTGCTCTTTGGGTAGACTTTCTTTTGCATCCCACCTTCCGGCGATGCAGGTCATTCCGCACGCCTTCGTGAGGCTTTGATTAGCGGGCTTTGTCAAAACTGATTGAATTGAACTGCACTGGAGTCGCGCCATAAAAAAGTGGAGACGTGGCAGAGATGTCTGACAGCTGCTAGCCTTTCGAAATTGGGGTCCGTGCAAGAACCGATGTCTAAGGCACTGGATTGGTACGATCAATCCTTCACCAAGGAGGTTGTGGAGGCGAAGCTGGCCTTTAAGGCACGGGCTCCTGAGCTCCTGCTTTCTATTTCCAAAGCTGCAAGCCCTATCAACCCTTGAACGGGAGTGGTCCGGGTTGTGATGCCCACCGCCCACCTCAACCCATCCTGAACCCATGCCTGTCATTGGAGGGTGCAAAGCGGTCGGAAGGGCGCAAGCAAGAGTCAGTAATGACATCAGCTTCACACTTCGTGAGGAGGTTCGTGGGACTTCGTAACTACTTGTAACTGGGCTTATAGCCCTGCGTGCAATCCCCTTAGATGGCCTGATAGGAGTTACCCTAATTATAAGTAGGTTTACAAGCCCAGCTATAATTAGTTACTAAGTCCTACGAACCTCCAAACTTTGGTTGAAAGTTGAAGGGATGAATGCACTCGTACAAAGTTCCCGGGGGCCACTGGAGTGGTCGTTCTAACTATGAAATTTGCAAACTGCCTAATCAGATTTCGCTCAATTGGCAGGACATACTTGGCACATCCCTGGAAGCTGCGAAAGAATCGGAGCAAAATGGCGAAGGCGCTGGCTTCAGGTACGAGATCTAAGGCTAGTTCACGCCCAAAAGAGAAAGCAGCTCAAGGCACGGACGACCAGATTTTGGCAGCAGCTACAGCCGCACGCACGGCGTTCAGCACTCAGATCCGTGCAACATGGGCTGCGCAACGCCACGCCATATTGCCTGTGTGTTTGTCTATCAGTCGTTCGCTTGGTCTGTCCGTAGTGTGGATGTCATTCTGACAAACCCCCTTACCCAGGAGTTCCGGGCGGACCAATTTGGAAACAAAGGTCTAGGAGATTGGGGGTTGTAATAACAGCCTCTGGGGCTTAAGCTCTCTCAGATGGATCATGGCATGAGGTAGGAGTAGTCGGAGTAGGAGTAG